CGATGAAAAGATGTTTGACAGTATTAATAACTCAGGAAATGATTTAATTAGACATTAAGCTAATTAAAAGGGCAAAATACCATTAAAAAAAAAAAAGAATGAACCTTAAGACCAATAGAATTCCATTTGTCCTTAGGGCCTCTTATTTTGTGGGTACTTGCAAGGCCATCATATGAGCCAAAGCTATAACTTTTCTGTGCAGATCCAAAACCAGAGCCTGGAAGATACACGAGGATAGGTGGTAACAGTTTAGTCATTCTTAAAGGTGACCCAAAAATCTCTCATCATGTCCAAAAGCTCTCTCAGAGCTGCTGTTCATTGGGTAGAACTGACGGGAAGAAAGACTATTTTAGAATGACTGGAAGAGAGGCTATTTTCAGATGACTTCTGATTTAATTTTTCGTTTCTAGCCCTAATATCCAGAAAGGTAATTTTTTGTTAGCTGATCTGGGCCAGGCAGCTATTCTCAGAAAAAGTTACTGAGAAGATCCCAAGAACAGGAAAAGCTGAAGAGAAGAAAATCCATGTTACTTAAAACATATCTTAAATGGAAATACCATAGACTGAAGCATGCGCAGCTCTTTTTCATGCTTTCCTAGTTCCAGGGGACAGTAGACGGGACAAGAAAACAACCGGAGCGGCCTGCCCCGGGGGAATGTAGCGAAGAAGAAGAAGCATATACTCTGACAAGTAGGAGCCCTGGTGGCGCTCTTGGGTGAATGTTGAACTGTTATCCCCAAGGTCAGTAGTTCAAACCCACCAGTCATTCTGCATGAGGAAGAGGAGGCTGTCTGCTCCTCCAGTAAAATTTAGTCTTGGAAACTCCATAGAGTGTCATTAGGAGTCAGAATCAACTTGATGGCAGTGGGTACTTTTCACCTAAGGCCTTTTGCTTTCCAGGTCATTGACCTTTCCGTTATAGGTCAAGCTGCCAGTCAATATGCAGATTTTTATTCAAGTAAATTTTAATTTAACAGGCTTTAACTTAACTTCTCAAAAGCTCCAGAATTCATTCTTACTGTTAAATGATATCAAATGTTCCTGTTTTTATCCCTTTATAGAGAATATTTTATAGAGCAGGCACTGGCAAGGTGGAACCTCTGGGCTATATGTAGCCCACCACCTTTCTTAGGACATACCATAAAGTTTTATTGGAGCCTTACCATGCTCATTCATTTATGTGTATGAGTCGGGCTGCTTTGTCCTACAGCAGTGAAGTTGAGACCAGGCAACAAAGACCATTTGGTCCACCCAGCCTAAAATGTTTATTCTCTGGCCAATTACAGAAAAACAGGTTGCTGACTGCTGTAACAAAGGAAAAAGGTTTTGTTGTGCCTGTCTGTGTTTTAAATGAATTTAAAACTCCCTGAAAATGACGAGTTAAACTACTGGCAAATTTTAGTTGAGAGCACTGGCATTTGGAATTTCTTTTGACGTGACGTCTAAACCTAAAAAATGTGAGTTTTAACATAAGACCTAATTCCAGACATTTAAGTTTTGAATAGACTGATAATAAGTATGAGTTTTCCTCTTTTGGATTAAAGAACTAAAACACGACAGCGCAAGCATCTCTTTACTCCCAGGTGAGCTTGTTTCAGGCACAGGGAGAAGCTGAAGGATCCTGCCCTGGAAGGAATAGTCCAGCTGAGGAGAAAAATGGGACTGTGGTGTAGCCACCTTCCTGCCCCACATTTTAAGTATGACATTTTCAAATAGCGCCTTTTTCTCTCTTTTTTCTAGGGACTGCTGTTCCGGCTAAGGATGCAACCAAACGAGCAGAATGAGCCCAGATGTGCCTCTGCTGAATGCTTACAAGCAGGACTTCTTTCTGAAGCGCTTTCCCCAGACCCTGCTTGGAGGCCCGCGGCTCAGATTAGGCTTCCGTGCCCCTCCTTACGTATATGTTAACCAGATTATTCTTTTTCTGATACCATGGGTTTGGGGTGGAGTAGGGACGCTCTTGTACGAGTTTGCCGTCCTGGAAGACTATCACACAGCAGCACTTTCAGGGGGCTTAATGCTTTTCACGGCGTTTGCCATCCAGCTCACAGGCTTATACGCCCGAAGCAAGTCCATGACGGTACAAAGAATCCTGACCTCGGATATTTTAGCAGAAGAAGATGAGCATGAATTTTCAAGTTGTGCTGGTGCTGAAACGATCAAATTTCTAATTCCTGGCAAGAAATATATGGCCAACACAATCTTCCATTCTGTTCTGGCAGGGGTAGTGTGTGCCCTTGGAACATGGTATCTGCTCCCCTCCCGAGTGACCTTACTGTGTGGCAGTGTGGGAGGTGCTGCGCTGCTCTTTGTCTTTGGCTGGGTGACAGTCTGTACAGGAGAGTATTCGTTAATCGTAAACACAGCTACAGAGACTGCGACTTTCCAGACCCAGGATACTTATGAAATCACTCCTCTGATGAGACCCCTTTATATTTTTTTCTTTGTTTCTGTGGATCTTGCACACAGGTAAAAAGCCAGCAAATACTTTATAACTTGCTTTGATTTGAAGAATAAAAAGTGAGAGAGCTCTCCTTAGTATAAAAAATATATATGTGAATTAAACCTCTCGTAAACATTCATAGAAAAGCAGTCATTAAAACTCACTGAAAAATCTTTTTAAAAAACTTTTTATGATAAATGTATTTGTTTCAATACTATATTTCACTTTATGTTTTTGTTTGTTTACTTGAGACACACTTGTTTGTCATCAAAGACTCCAAGTCCATTTCCGTTTTACTTCTGCTTTTTTTCTTAAAGCCACTCAAACCACTACTTAGGTTTGAGGGAAAAGGAATCGGAAGGGATTTTATTTCGTTTTTAAAGAAACATACTGTGTATATTTACACAGCTCATCTCAAGAAATTTAATACTCCATGTATGTGGTTCTTTTTCTCCCTCCCACTTCTCACCTCCCCAATAATCTATTAATAATATTTATTATTTATGATAGTTACATTTTTGTAATCAATTATTTCAATAATACTGTATTTCACTTTAATTAAGGAGCACAGAATCCGTAGGAAAGCTTGGCTGGAAAACTAGGAAGAGATGGAGCTTTCCTATGGAGCAAATTGAAGAATTTCTAAAATTTTAAGATGAGAATATGTACAGATTAAGTGAACTTAGATGACCAGAATAATGTATGTCTAACTATTGGAACAACAGCACTGCAAGGAATCTAAAACCAAGCTCACTGCCATCAAGTCAGTCTGACTCCCAGTGAACCTGTAGGACAGGAGAGAACTGCTCCTGTGCTGACTCTTTTTCTTTCTTTTCTTTTTTTTTGTAAGACTGTAGCTCTTAATGGGAATAGAAAGCCACTTCTTGCTCCCATGGGGCAGCTGGTGGTTTCAAATAGCTGACCTTATGGTTAGCAGCCGAGCTCATAACCCACTGTACTCCCAAGGCTCCACAGGAAGGGATCGGGACTTTTAATTAATTACAGAAGAAAACCATAAAATAGCCTTGTAGACAAACAATTGTTTGCAGAGCTGTTTGATAACTCTCTTTGTTTATGTAGTAGTTATGAGATCCACAGGGTCAGCAGTTCAAAACCACCACCTGTTCCATGGAAGAAAGGGCTTTCTACTCCCTTAACAGTTTCCATCTCAGAAATTTACAGGGGCAGTTCTGCCCTGCCCTATTATAGGGCACTATGAGTTGGCAGTGCCTTGATGGCACTGAGTTTGTGTTTGTTTTTCTAAATCTGACTCTTTTCTTTCTCTTTCTGTAGATTACAGCTTTTCTCTTTCTCAGGTTAGTGTTTAGGTAGAACCATACAGTCATTTAAATACAGTTAGTCAGATTGTGTTCTGAAACTGAACTCTGTATCAGTTACTATTTCTTAACTCTTAGCCTGTTCCAATGGGGTTATATTTACAGACCCTGATACCCATGTAACTTTTTGCCGTCAAATTTATGGTGAGAAAAACTAATCTGTATGAAATTGATTTAAAACTGGTTACTTAGTAGCACTACTGTTTACTAAGATATAATTAATTGCTTGATTTTTGAAAATTTACTAAATTTTAGTCTAAATGTGTTTACATATGATCTTTTATAACACTTAATTTATAAGATTTTTATTTTCAAAATGCCTATTCTTGAGTTACCATCTCATGCCATTTCAGAAATAAAAATTTATATACCTTGATAGTATTTTTGCATTTAAAATTATATCCTATGTTTTTTATGTTATATTTAAGAACTCAGTGAATTTATAATTTGCTTGTCTTGAGTCTTAAGAATTCTAAATCTGAGTTATCAAAGTATCAAAATGAGTTTTACTAGACAAGTTGGATTTAAGATAGTTTTAATGTTTAGAATTTGATCATTGTAAAAGAGAGCCTCTTCTATCATAACCAAAAGAAAAGACAAAGGCAACTCCCAAATCTATAAAGGAAAAAATACTTATTTGTATAGAATACCTCAGTCCACTTATAGAACAGGCTGACATTTAGCTGACAACATAATGAAGAATCAGTGTTCTTTATGCAACAGTATTATGCTACAGCCTACTGATTTATTAGGAGCCCTGGTGGGTGTGGTAGCAGTTATGTGTTGGGCTGTGATCCAAAAGGTCCAGTGTTGAAACTGTCAGCAGCTCCCTGGAGAAAGATGGGGCTCTCTACTCCCATTACCAGTTACAGTTTGACCCAGTCCTACAGGGTCGCTATGAGTCAGCATCAGCTCTATGACAGTGAGCTTGGTTTGTTTTTTTCAAACTGATTGATTAAATACTTGCACTTTTCAGATGTATATAGGCTTTAAATCTGGCCCATTGTCAGATATTATCTTGGTTATCGAGTGCTTGCTATAACAGAAATGCCACAAATTGGTGACTAGCAAGCAACGTTATTCTCACTAGTTAGCAGGCTAGCAGTCTAAATCCAGGGTGCCAGCTTTCATGGTAGACATCTGTGTTGGCTCTGAAGGATGGTCCTCCTGCTCATGGGCAATCTTCTGTCTCTTGCTTGCTTGTTTGTCTAATCACTTTGATATCTCAGAAGAGATTGGTTTAAGACACACCCTGTACCCTCCACTGAATCTGCCTCATGAACATAACAAAAGCAACCCACCATTCCTAACTGGGAATGTAACACAGGCATAGAAGATAAGAGTTAGAATACATTTCTGGGAGATACAATTCCTGACCATTGAAATAACTTTTTCTCTTTTTTATCATTCTTTATCTAGTACAATTATATTCGTAATTTTAAATAACTTTTAAATAGCAAGAATGAAGGATGCTTATTTACATCATCTTTTTAAAAAGGCACCTCCATTTAGTTGAGGGACCCATTGGGAAGAATAGAACTGCTCCATAGGGTTTGTGAAGAAGCTGTAGGATGAGCATTCCAATCCCTAACATGCTATACCATATCATCTGAGCAATGGGAAAAAACAACTTTTTCTTCGCATGTAGATCTTATTATATAGCAGTGTAATATTTTTATAGTTGTTAGGTTCAAAGCAAAGTTTTCCTATTCCTGAATACTGAGTTGTTTTTAGCCTAGAGAATCCTTATCAGAAACAGGAAATTTTAATTATTTTTCCATATTAAAAAACACAATAATCTTCCAAGGCTGCATCTGATGCCACCAGTGAGCAATCACAATGTTTGTTGTTAATCCAGTTATATTGTGAGATATATATATATATTATAGGTATATTGTATAATATATTTAAGATACCCTCATAAATAAGTTTTCTAAGTCATTGCTTCTTGCTTGCTTGAGGAGCAAAAAAGAAAGACAGTAATATCACCTCTTAAAAACGTACTGCCATTGAGTGGATTTTGATTCATAGCAACCCAATAGGACAAGGTAGAACTGTCCTTAGGCGGCTCCAAGACTTTACAGGAGTAGAAGGCCTCACCTTTCTCCCTCAGAGCAGCTGGTGGTTTCGAACTGCTGGCTTTGTGGCTAGCAACCCAAAGTGTAACACACTGCACCACCAGTACATCAGCACAACACTCACTGCCAGTGAGTTGATGCTGACTCATAAAATCAAATATGGGTAAAATCTCTCCTAGGAACCCAAGGGGGCTTAGTTGTAGTACCCCAGCAGATTGGAAAACCCTCCTAGACTAAGGTGACCAGACGTCCTGCTTTTGAACAATTTGTCCTGCAGCATTTTTAAAAAGTCCCGATTTTTTGGAAAGAATGCACGATAAGCTAGGTTATAGGTTTTCGGCTGCCATGTTGCTATTTCGCCAGGATATGAGTTTTATCAATGGTGTCCCGCTTTACCAGTGTTAAAATCTGTTCACCTTATGTCTGTCCTATAAAATGGTGAAGTATCTGCACAGAACATTCACCCCGTATACTTTTAAGTCTCAGATCTAGAGTATTTTGGCAATACCTAATACAATGTAAATTCTATGTAAATAGCACTGTGTGTGCCTTCTTAGCCTTTGCGGAATTGGTTTGAACATTTAATTCTCTCCTCTCCAGGCCCTCAGTCCTTGGTTAAATCTTCAAATGCAGAACCCAGAGATAGAAAGGTCAACCGTATATAGTGTTTTTCCACCAGCTGCCCCATTCTTGAGTTTGAATTTGTTAGCAAGAGAAGTATTACCTTAAAAAAAAAGGACATTGTACTAACCTTCATGCTTTCTCTGACTTCCCTGTGCCTTATAATATGTGGCTTAGTTTTGTTGTTATATGATTGCTTTTTTCTTTGAATTAAATGAACTTTGCTTTAATTCTACACCATCAAAAGTATTGTCACCTAATTTATCATCACCATTGTTAACATTGTGTTCCTTAATTCTCTGCTGATCAGCATTTGAAAGACATACATTGTGAGGCTGAGTGCATTAGCCTGGACACCAGGCTTGGTCCTGGGATCTGTGTGAGCAGACACAGTGCCATTGTCAGAGCCCTGGTTACTGTACATTTGTATTAAAGTGAGTTAATTGTTGCAGAACTTGTCTTTCTCCTTGACTTTGTTTTAAGGAACTAGGATATTCCAGTGTTGAGATTTAGTTTTCTCTTTTGAAAATTTCCCTTAGGAACTCCTTAAGTACAAGGTATGTGGTTAGTTAGCTTTTATACACACACACACACACACATCTATATCATAGTCATAACATTGATTCTTCTATGCTTTAAGGTTTTTATTAAATTATTTGAAACCATTTTGTGCTGTGTTTGCTTAAATGGTAAGTAGTGTCAAATTCTGTATTTAACCCTGGGCTCGGTTGCATAGTTTTATATATCCATAAATTCAGTTGAATTACGATATTCATGAATGATTTTCCATTCTGTCGTCCTTTCCACATTGGAACCTCTATGTTCTCTAAATGCCAAATGTTTCCCCCGGTGATTTGGGATAGTTGCTGGAAGGGCAAGGGTTACAATCCCTAGGTCTTGTTCATGTTTATAGGTAAGGACTGGAGACAATTTTTGTTTACTTTTTGCTTTAATCTTTTGTTAAGGGTGTAGGAGCTCTGATGGCTCAGTGATTGTGTGTTGGGCTGCTGCTACAAGTAAAGTCAGAAGTTCGAAACCACCAGCCAAGCAGCTCTGTGCAAGAGAAAGAAAGATTTCTACTCCCACCAAGGTTCACTCTCAGAAACCCACAGGGGTAGTTCTTTGTCCTATTGGGTCGCAGCAACTCAGTGACAGTGAGTTTTGTTATGGAGTAGGTCCAGTGGGCACAGCAGGACATGGGGGGGGGGGGTTACTTGGTGTTAGATTGCTTTTCCTGACCTTATTCTATCGATGAATGTGTGTGATGTAAATGTTTTCTTTTTCTTACAGATTTATGATACATGTGCCAGCTCTAGAACAGATGAATCAGATTTTACACATCTTGTTTATATTTTTACCTTTTCTCTGGGCACTGGGAACTCTGCCCCCACCTGATGCACTATTTTTATGGGCAATGGAACAAGTTTTAGAGTTTGGCCTTGGAGGCTCACCCATGTCGACACACCTATGGTAACTTTTACAACATTGAAGTTACATGTAACTTATACCTAACGAACACTGTTCTTTTGCAAGTAAATTTTTTTTCCCCCTGCAGGTTGTTAGCGATGCTCCTCATTTCTGCTGGAGTGGCTGTAACATCGTATTTCATTCCCAGTCCTGTTTGTGTGGTTCTTTTCATGACGGGACTTGGGTTCCTGCTGAGTCTTAATCTACGTGAGATGGGTTTTACCTTCAAGCACCATGTGACCAGACACAGAGCTAGAACCAAATCCAAGGCTTTACCCAGCGATTCCAGAACACATTATACATGGAAAGAATGTGGATTCTACATCATTATGTTAGCCTTGGCTCTCGTAGAATCCAGTTTACTTCACCACTTTGCTGATTTCTCACAGATGTCCAGAAGCAGTCCGCAGACTATTGTTGGCTATATGTTGATGATATTACTTGCAATACTGTGGATACTTAGAGAAATTCAAAGTGTCTATATCTTTGGAGTTTTCCGAAACCCTTTCTATCCAAAGGATATGCATACTGTGACGGTGTTCTTAAAGAAGCAAGCAAAACTCATGAAGATTGGTGTTGCCAGACGCACTCTACTGACACTAGGTAGGAGGATGAAGTCTGGCTTACTGTTACAAACTATTGGGGAAATGTGTGCAAAAATACGAAAGTCCCATATTTGTGTGGTATTGTAATGCACTCAAGGAACCCTGGTGGGGCAGTTAGCATTTCTCTGCTAACAGGCCAGCAGTCCAAGTCCACCAGTTACTCCCAGAGGGAACGACGTAGTGTTCTGCTTCTGTTGTAAAGACTGTCAGTCCTTGAAACCTGTGGGGCAGTTCTACTCTGTCCAGTAGGGTCACTGTGAATCAGAACGTACACAGTGGTAATGGGTTTGGGCTTTGAGTTAACATGACATACAAGCATTTATTCTTTTATGATTTGGTTTCTGCTTTATGAGGTTTTATATTAATTATTTAAATGTGCTCATTAAAGATCATATTTTTGCCAAGATAAACTATGGGAGGAGTTATTTGCTTTAATTAAGTCTGTCTCTGTTGTTTTGTTCTCTTTTAGTGTCACCTTTTGTCATGATAGCATTTCTCTCACTGGATAGTTCCTTGCAGAGGCCCCAGTCTGTGGCTGCCTCCATTGGATTCACAAGAGCTTTTAGAATGGTAACCCGAATGTGGATTTAGTATATTTTCCAGCGGGGAAGTTTAATTCTGATTGTGTGCATGTTAGTAGTTTGCTTAGATTATTAAATTCTACATAATGAAGGTGGGTAATTTGTGTACTGCAGGTATGGCAGAACACAGAAAATGCTCTTTTGGAGACGGTCACAGTAGCAGTCACACACGCACTGATCTTTAATAAGGACTTATGGTGGAACAGAAACCTGAATACAGGACTTAGACTCTTACTGGTAAATCCTTTTCTTTGTACTAGCTTTATTGAGATGTATTGCATATACCATAAAATATATTCATTTAAAATGTATGGTTCAGGGGTGTGTACCCATAGCTTTGCATTCATCAGTACATTCTAATATTAGAACATTGTAACACCACCGAAGGAATCCTGATATACTTTTACACACTGGCTCATATACTTACATACCTGGCTTTACTTACATACCTTATATACTGGCTATGCCTGTTCTCCATCCCATTAGTCTAGCTAAGATTGGTCACAATTATTAGTGTCGTCGAAGAACCAGCAATGTCTGCTTTCCGGCACATGTTCTTTACCTCCAACAAACTGAGCAGTTAATACTTAGAAACTTGGAAGGCGTACCTTTACGGAATTTGCTTTGTTTTTCTTTTGCTATAAAATTGGTGTGTATTTTGTTACAGTGGAAGTGTTACTCACTCTGTCATCTATAATTCTCCCAGTGGTTTAGAGAGAATCAATGTCTGACATTTTGGTATATACTTTTCCAAGTTTTGATGTTCCTATTTACATGTTCTTTTATCAACAGAAATGAGATCTCACGCACACTGTGTATGGTGTGTTGTAATCTGTGACACGGGACTGTGGCCAGCTGTCAGTCATTCTGACTTTAGCAACAATTCATGGTTGCACTGTGGTCCAATATACCTGTAGACATCTGTAATTAGCCAACCCACTGAGGGTAAAAAGAAAACAAGTGGCTTCATATTTTTCTTAGTAAAAGGAGGCATGTAGCTGAAGCACTGTACACATCCATCATCATTTCTTCAGGATAGAGACCTAGAAGTAAAATTGATGGATCAAGAGATAAGGACATTTCTAGAATTCTTGTTTCATGTTGTGACATGACCCTCCAGAGAGGTAATTCTACTTCATATTCCCATCAGCAGTATTAAGCAAGGGCCCATTTCTCTGTAATGGCATTTGTTGTTGTACTTGTTTGATTTGAGGCAGCTGTAACAGTGAGTAAACAGGAATTGTGCTAGTCCACAGAGTGCAACCAGTGAACCACCGAGCCTCATTCCTCTCACCCCCACCACTTACTCCCAACCCACAATGGAAATAAATTTCATAAGACTTGAACGACTTTCTAAGTCTTTTGCGTGGATGATTTCCACTGTGGGTAATTAGAGGAAATAAGTGTTTGGTGGGGTGTTAACTATCCTTTGCAGTTAACAATGAAGAGGCCAACCACATTTTTATACTATAACCCCCTACTCACCCTCCAAAAAACCTACTGCATGAAGTTGATTCCGACCCAGAGTGACCCTGTAGAGGGTTTCCAAGACTGTAAATCTTTGTGGGAACAGACAGCCTCATCTTTCTCCCTTAGAGCATTTGGTGGGTTTAAACTGCTGACCTTGCAGTTAGCAGCCAAGTGTCTAAACCACAGCACCACCAGGGCTCCTTTATTTGTGCCATACAAATTTTTTTATATAATACAAAAATAAACGTACTTTGAGGAAATAAATAATAATTCTAGCAGAAGGAAGCCAGTTTTGTCAATATAAATTTTGGAAGCAAATACTTTTTTTACACAACTAATTATTCAATACAGTAGTAAAAATGTAAAATTTATAACATTGAATGGCTTGATTAGGAGAAGAGATTTATCATTTCATAGGGGAGAATGTTTCATCATTTTAAAATGTGGAAATCTGATGAAAAGAGGAGTTTAGTTAGGATTATTTTAGGTTCCAGTACAGGATGCTAAATAATCTTATTTGTGTTGTTTTTAAATCCATGACTCCTTGAGGTAGAAAAATGTTAGTGAAAATTATCCTCGAAGGAAAGACCTGTTTTTCCCCCCAAAAATTGGCCATTGAAGATCATGTCGAACACAGTTCTTCCCTAACACATGTAAAGTTGCCGTGAGCCACAAATGGCCCAGCAGCGACGGGTGAGTGTAAAATAGACCCATACCTCAAAGACCTGCTGCAAAAAGAAAAAGGTAAACTATCCCAATGTTTAGAAAATACTGATTACATGTTGACATAGTATTTTGCCTTTATTACATTAAATAAAATGGACTATTAAAAGTAAAAATAATAACAATTATTTCAAGGTAATTAATATTTCAGATTGTATTTTAATTCCAAAGTCAATTTTTAACTCCTTTTGAAGGCACTCCTGAAATTTCTTTTAGGCACAAGATAACAATCTCTTTGGTGTTACTAGTTAGAGGAAGCTGGATATTTTTACTCAGCAGTATCAAAAGGTTTTTGGTCCTCAATGAAACTGAAAAGATCCCTAATCTCCCACGATCAGTTTAGCCTGATTTTACCCTTGGAGTCGGGAGGGGCTATTTCTTTGGCACGTGACTTCAAGATGTTTAAAGCTGCGTTTTTAAATGCAATGGCCTCTCTTTTCAGACTGCATTAGAACACCTCCAACAAAAGGTCATAAGCTCTGCTAAGATGACTGGAAATAGAGTGAAAAATGGCTTCCATAGTTTATATGTACTTTTCCTATAAGCCTGCTGCTTAACTTCCACAGCTTCTGATCTTCTGACTTCCAGGGCATATCCAGCAAAGCTTCGTCAGGCTCAGAGCGTTTGATTACACTCTCAATCTGTCTCCCTTTTAGTGGTACATGGTTTTCTAAGAGCTCCGAAACTTTTGAACATACCCTCCCATTTATTGATTGCGAGGTTGGAAAAATTATAACTAAGAATTGCACATGAGGATTATACAGCCCCCCCCACCAAAGATATCGAGTCAAGAATAAAATTAAACAGTATGTCCTTATGTGGTCTTGAGAAGTCATGAAAAGTCTTTAAGAATAAATTCAAATGATGTTTACATCTCTGCAGGTAGGTATTGTGCGTGATCGTCTGGTTCAGTTCGTCTCGAAATTGCAGTTTGCTGTGACTGTGCTTCTGGCATCATGGACGGAGAAAAAACAGCGTCGGAAATCGGCTGCCACTTTATGTGTTCTCAACACCGTCTTCTCTCCATTCGTGCTGCTCGTCGTGGTGCTTTCTACGCTGCTCTCTTCTCCCTTGCTCCCCCTCTTCACCCTGCCTGTGTTCTTGGTGGGGTTTCCCCGGCCGATTCGGAGTTGGCCAGGAGCGGTGGGCACCGCCGCCAGCGTGTGTGCAGATACAGTGTACTACCACCAGATGGTCCCAGGTTTGACTATTGCACTGCAGTCTGCGATGGCAGCTGGAAGTTTAAGTAAGTAAATAGTTGTGCTTAAGAAAATTAATGAGGTTATTAATTATCAAGTGCAGGAGGGAAAACAGTCTTGATATAACCATATCATGGACTGTAAAACAGACTCCAATACATTGAGGCATAGGAGGAGACTAAATGAGAAATAGAAATAAACTTGGCATGCCTTATTGAGGTAAATATAAAATTAAAACATTTAGGAAATTTTCATGAAGGTGAATTTGGCAATTTTTAAAACACATTTTCTTAAATTCAGGTGACAGCCCTTCGTTATCCATAAACCACTTTTCCCCTCAGGATTTCTCTGAGTTTGTTACAATGGAACAAGTCAAGTAGATGTAAAAGCTCAGCTCCCGTAGAGAGTGAAAACTAAAGACACAGTATTGGATTGAAGAACCCACTGCCTTCGAGTCTATTCTGACTTAACGGCTTTCCAAGACTATAAATCTTTATAGTCTTTCCAAGGCTTATCTTTCTCCAGTGAAATAACTGATGGCCTTGAACCACCAACCATGTGGTTAGCCACCTATTGCCTAATCCACAGCACCACCAGAGATCCAGGAACGTACACAGTGGTATCGAGACCACTGTAAGCAATAAGCTAACTGCCAACTCAGCTATTTTGTTCTTCTCAACATTACTCTTAGAAGAGTGTATTTGCAAGAAAAAAGAAAGTGTATTTGCTCACCGTACATTTTAGCCCGTGAAGCTTGTTTTGGAACTAGCCGTTGGCTTTGGCAGTTCTACTCTGTCCTAAAGGGTTACAGGAGTCGGAATCAGCTCGGTGGTGCACTACAAAAATGTGCAATGTACAGTTCCTGGGGATTACCAGCAGTGAGAATTCACAGGTCTGCAGTGGGTTAATATGAAATGAACAGTAGTTTCTATTTTGGGCCCAATGGGAGGGTTGATGGGACCTTGAGATTGAAATGAGGGCTAAACCAAGCTTGAAAAATGATTCCTTATTTTTCTCATTTGTTTTAGGTCTCTTCTTACCTGGGTCTCACTACTTGGGCCGTTTTCAGGATCGTTTACTATGGATAATGATTCTAGAACGAGGTTATACTTACTGCTCTATTAACATTAAGGTTAATGTTTATTTTAAACCTCTCTAGTGGTTTTATAGTGCATGTGTAGAAATTTCTGTATGTATCAGACACTTAACAGCACAATAAAAACTTATTTTTTTAATGACCTGAGAAAATGGGGATTGTAAAGGTATATTTCAGTGTGCACATGTTGATAGGAAGCTAATATTGATTGTGTAATAGAGCATAGTAACAGGATACTTGTGTCCTTCTCTTCTAGTCTTGATCTTTCTCTCTCTAGCGGAGCATCTTAAAAGTATAGATCCATGATTTTTTTTTAAATAAGCATTTTAACCTATAAACATTCTCGATGTAATGAAAACATCACCGCCCCAACTTACTACATTCCATTTTTCCTTTTAAAGCAAAGTGCCTTAGTAATGTGGCCTCCTGTCATACCTCTGATCCCTAACATTCTCTCTTTCACTGTAGGTTTTGATACTGTAACTCCACCCAAACTGCTCTAGCCAAAGTCTCTGGTGATGGTAACATTGCTGCTCACCTCTCGAACCTCTCTCTGCTGAAAACCCTGCAGTAGGTCTTTGATGAACCACCCAGAGTACAAGGCAGAGTCTTAATTGGTTAGGCTTCTAACTCAACTCCCGCCGACAGTACCCTCTGCTGAGACCACGCTTCCTCCAGACAACCAAATCACTAACTCATTCATTGCCTTTCATCTTTGCTCAAATGTTACACTGAACTAATGGCATGGGGGACACCTCTGACCTCATCTGACTTTGGTAGGAAGGAGAATCAACTCCGCACCACCCCTAGGCCGATGGCTGCAGGCAGAGGTCAAAATGTCTCCACCGTCCATCCTTCTTTTATCTGTTCAGACACCAACCATCTTTCCCATACTTTTCTCTCCTGCTGGATTCAATAATCCAACGCAGCGGCCACATAGACCTTGGGAAATACTCAAAATCAGGGTTTATTAGGGAAACCCAAAAGGTTCCAACACATTGAGGATACAGTTCTTTTGTCCACAGTCTCTCTTCTCAGCCAGGCTTGCATACATGTCTCCTCCCTCTGGTCTAAGCTTCTCAGCACAATGTCCCTTGGCCTTGGCCTTGTTCCATAAGCTGGGAAGCCTGCCACTGTGCCTCATGGTCTCAGTGCTGTGGCTTGTATGTCTACTGCTGCCAGTTCAGGCTTGGCTCTCCCATGTGCTCTGCTGGTGGCTGTCCTTGATCATCCTGGGATTCTCACCGTTTCCGAATTGGCTCTTTTACACTCAGGGATGGCAAAAGTGACCATTCCCCTCTTCTGCACCCTCTTTGCATGATCCCGCCCAAGCATTTGGTGGGAGCTAATGAAATCATGAATGAAAGAACCATTTTAAGCAGTATCACTTCACTGTGACCTTACCTCAATGAGGTCTGTTTAGAACTGTACCCCCACCTCTGCTTTTGGACTTCCAATCTTCTTTGTTTTGCTGTGCTCTCCTTTTTAGAATTGTCATAGCACTTAGACCTTCTGGCATACTGTGTAATTTGCTTGCTGTTTTTATTGTTGGTTTTCCATCTTGTTTTATTTGGGGTTATAGCTTAAGTCCCTGGAACAGTGCCGGGTCCATAAGTCCTCAGTAAATCTTTGAATGAATGATGTTTTTGTCTTAGGATAGATTAGATACAATTGGTGACTAAAGCTGTTCATTTCTTCCACTGAGTCTGACAGACTAGTCCTCAGACCAGCAGTTTTAACATCACCAGGGAACTTGTTAGAAAAGATATTTCTTGGGCCACCAGACCCACTCCATCAGAAAGAAGCCCTGGGAGTAGTCCGAGTCTATGTTTCAACAAGACTTCCAGGTGATTCTGACTCACCTACAGTGTGAGAACCACGGTGCTCATCTAATCTACAGAAACAGAACAAGGAGTAAAAATGTGAAATATTGAGGATGTTTTATTGCTTAATTTTGTTTTTCGTTCTCCTAAACAAATGGCGTTGTTCGGGAATACCTGGACTCCGGTCCTTTTGTTGTGGCCTATGTGGGATGGAGGCTTACTCTCTGGTGTCAGATCTTTGTTTCTTTTGCTGGCCTAGCTGTGTCATTTGCTAACCTTTATATCGTACTTCAGAGTTTACAAAGGACCTTTGTTCACTAATGTCATCTACAAAACCTATGCTCTGGGATTATTTTGCATGGAAGGAGAGGTAATGGAATCTCAGAGCGTAAGTGACCTTACTGAAGCTTGTGTAGGCAACATAACCTAGAGCATATAACTTACAGAGGTGTTCTGCTCTCACATCCCATACTCTTTCCCTGGATCCTAATTAAATCTGGCAGCATAGCCAGTTTGTACATAATAATGGTACTGCTAATATATAAAAATACATAATGAACAATGATAGTGGTAACCATGATTCCTTCTAGGGAGGTAATCAATATATGTTCAGAATTCATGTAGGAACATAGTCAAATTCATTCACTCAACATATATTTCTTGTAGACCAAACTATGGGCCAGGCACTGAATTGAACACTGAGGATAGTAGTTATCAAAAGAGCTTTTACATTGTAATTGGAGGATACAGTCAAACCTGTATCTTCATTATTTTATTCTAAAGAAACAAACCAGAAAATGGTTAATGATGTCATATCCATGCACTAGAAGAATGTACCAATCATATAAAATGAGGTGGAAAGGATATAAAACTGCTGTACACTCATGAGGGAGGGAGGGGGAAAAATAAGGACCTGATGCCGGGGGCTTAAGTGGAGAGCAAATGCTTTGAGAATGAGGGCAATGAATGTACAAATGTGCTTTACACAATTGATGTATGTATGGATTATGATAAGAGTCGTATGAGCCTCTAATAAAACAATTTAAAAATGGAAAAAAACAAACAAACTGCTGTACATATGATATAGTTTTAATTTTTCCTTTTACCAAAACAAAGTTTTAAGTTATAAAGTTTTTTATTGATTCAAACTGACTATATAGTCTTTAATGCTTAAATCAATAAGGTGATTTTGCCAGTTTATAGTGAAATTTAGATACTATCTTTTAAAATACTACTGGCATTAATTTTAATATCTATTCAGCATCAAATATGTTAAGTGCCACAAAGTTTAAGTTTTATAAGTCCTGATTTAAACTTTTGCATTTTCCAAATTTTTATTATGAAAATCCCTGGGCATTTTCAAGACTAATTGTTTTTCTCTATAAAAGAAAGATCATAAACTCAAGTACTTTTTATTTCCTTTGTTAGGGCTTAGAATTGCAAGAGACATCTTGTCACACTGCTGAAGCTGGAAGGGTTGATGAAGTTTTTGAAGGTGCCTTTGTGCGAGAAGAATCCACAAGAGGATGTTCCCTTAATGAGCACTTTGGAAATATCTTGACACCATGTACAGTTTTGCCTGTGAAACTATATTCTGATGCCCGGAATGTCCTATCTGGCATAATTGATTCTCATGAAAACTTAAAAGAATTTAAAGATGACCTTGCTAAAATACTTGTGTGGATACTCGTTCAGTACTGCTCCAGAAAACCCAGTGAGCAGGAGAATGTTCACAAAACTGAGAATAAAGGGAAGGCCCCTTTACTAATCCCACCCACTTCAAATCCTTCACCGCAGCCCCAGTGCCCAGAAGACACGGATAGTTCAGTATCAGAAATTTTTGATGACTGGTGTGATGGGAATATTTTTGATGATGAGCCAACCAGCAAAAAGGGAAAAGAAGGAAAAGGTCAGTTGAAAGTTTTTCCAGGTACAAATTCTTCTCTCCCAGGATCAACAGAATTATGGAAGGTTGATGATCTTTCTACAGACAGAGTCCCTGACAATACGCTTTATAAAAGTGTTATGCTGGGATACCCTGCTCCTGACAAAGGACAGCAAGAAGGCATGGTATCTATCCCCCTTGTGGAGTTCAGTTCTCATTCTCACATGGTAAGCTTACCTGAAGAATGGAGGTCTAACTGTTTGCCTGATGTCAGAATGAAGGAGATGAGTTCGATCTTTCCAGAAGACTGGTACCAATTTGTTTTAAGGCACTTGGAATGTTTGCATTCAGAAGAAAAGACCTCAAATGTACTGGAAGAAATTGCAAAGGATAAAGTTTTAAAGGACTCATATGTTCATGTAGCAATGACTTGTTATTTTAGTTTGTTTGGAATAGACAATGTGACTCCTAGTCCCAGTCACATATTGAAAGTTTACAGTGGGGTTTTGCCTTGGTCGACTGCCTTTGATTGGCTCATGGAAAAACCAGAACTATTCCAGCTAGCACTGAAAGCTTTCAGGTAATCAGTTTTGATTATTTAAAAGATGTAATATTGGCAGGAAAATGTTTTTTTTTAATGTTGAGTTTTTGTTCAAGTTCACTTAGAAGTTTATTACTAATATAAAAACTATCATAAAATTGAAGGGAAAGTGCTTAATATGCATTGTGATTTTTCTCAGGAGTATACTTAGTTTATAGTCCTTTTGGTCTTGTTTAGGGGGAAGACTTATTCATACGGTATACTGGATGACTTGTTCATTTCTTCCTCATTTTTTTATCTGAAATATTTTGATTGCAGATCAGCATCTTTAAAATACTAACTTAATCTATGAAGTTGATTTTGGGGAAAAAATACCCACATTTTCGATTCTCCACTTTTAGGTACACTTTGAAACTAATGATTGATAAGGCAAGTTTAGGTCCAATAGACAACTTTAAGGAGCTGACTAGTTACCTTGAAGAATATGAAAATGACTGGTATATTGGTTTGGTTTCTGATGAAAAGTGGAAGGAAGCAGTTTTACAAGAAAAGCCGTACTTGTTTTCTCTTGGGTATGATCCTAATATGGTAAGTTTTAAAATGTGCTCATAAATACTTTTTTTAAAAAAATAATCATTTTATTGGGGGCTCATACAGCTCTTATCACAATCGATACATCCATCCATTGTATGTCAAGCACATTTGTACATTTGTTGCCATCATCATTCTCAAAACACTTGCTTTCTACTTGAGTCCTTCGTATCAGCTCATTTTTTCCCCTGCCTCCCTGCTCCCCTCTCCCTCATGTACCTTTGATAATTTATAAATTATTATTTTGTCATATCTTACACTGTCCAACGTCTCCCTTCACCCACTTTTCTGTTGCCCGTCCACCAGAGAGGAGGTTATATGTAGATCCTTATAATCGGTTCCCCGTTTCTACCCTACCTTCCCAAATTATTTAAACAAAATGCTAGGGAAATGACATTCTAACTATGGGTATATTTATAGGTTTGAAGCATTTCTAGTGATAACTTTATTGCCCAACACAGTCCAATCTTAAAATAGCTAGCTGTTTCTTTCCCTTTTGCCAATACCTATGGCATATTTCATTAAATAGACTGTATTCTTATGCCCAGTTTAAGCGAATGAATGATCACTTTGGATTTAAATCTAGAAGAAAAATGAACATATATGTGACAAGTATTTCTTTCACAGACATCTGTATTTGGAAACAAACTTTATTTGAAATAAATTTGACGTGGAAAAATTCAGACTCAAAATAGAGAATACTTTTTCAGTGATTAGCCATTCTTCCCATTGCATTGAAAATGCCATCCAATGTACACAGTATAAAACACTCACTATGAAAAGGTACGCTTCCCAGTGATCTTAAAATAATGATTTACAGTCTCAAATGGTCTTAAAGGCGTACAAGAAACGGAGAAACATATTAAAGACAATCTAAAATGTAGTATCAGCAGTGAAGCGACTACAGTATTTAAGCAAAAACTCACTCCCCTCTACCCCACCATCTTGCAAGGTGGGAGACTCCCTCCAGCCAACCCCATTCTGCCTTGGACGCAGCACACTGAAAACACTGCCCTTGACCACCTTGACTCTGACTGGTAAGAGGGAGGCTTCATGCCAAGAGATACAACTTACTACTATATCTACAAAATTCTTTTCCCAAAGCACGGTGCTGCTCAGAGTGAAGCAGTGATAATCGCACATGCCTTTGAGTACACTAAACAAACATTGAATTGTCTGCTTTAAATAGGAAATTGTATACTATGTGAATTATATCTCAGTGATTCTGGTCATTAAGCAGAATGGCTTCTGGAAATTTTTATTTCTCATATGTGTTCAAAGAGCTAAGGAAATAAAAATGATTTTTACCTCTGAAAAGAAGCAACTTATATGTGTATTTTTATACACTTTGTCTTTTATTGAAATTGGGAGGAAATTTTCAATGGATTTTTTTCCTTCCTATATTTATAAATAAAATTATAAAAAATAAATGTAATTTCTCTGTCCTTCCTCTCCCTACTTTTTTTTTTTAAGGGTGTTTACACTGGGAGAGTACTGACTCTTCAAGAATTATTGATACAACTTGGAAAGTTGAATGCTGAAGCTGTTCGAGGGCAGTGGGCCAATCTCTCATGGGAATTGCTATATGCCACTAATGATGATGAGGAACGTTACAGTATACAAGCTCATCCACTGCTTTTAAGAAACCTCACGGTACAAGCAGCTGATCCTCCCCTGGGATACCCAATTTATTCTTCAAAACCTCTCCACATACATTTGTTTTAGAGTCCATTTTGACTTGCAATATCTTCAAATGAGATGCTTATATTTTTTCATTCTAGAAAAGTAACAATGTGTAATTGCTGTAGACGAGTTGGACTCTCTCTCCAGTCCCCTCCCATGTCAGATAGCCGAGAAAAGCCAAACTCCGTGAGGTTAATCTCTTCACCATCTTAATGGAGATATATCTATGTCTATATATAGATATATCATAAAAGTTTAGAACTAGTTGGCCAATATTTGTGACATTTGGGTTATGGTAGACTTTAGGAAATATGATAAGCATTTTTAAAAGGTGGTTGTAAGAGAGCATTCTGACGTATCCCGCCCCCACCCCCCACGTGGCAGAGTAGAACTAGAACTGCCCCATAGGGTTCTCTAGGCTGTAATCCTTATGGAAGCAGGTCACTAGTTCTTTCTCACATGAAGCCGCTGGGTGGGTTTGAATCAACAACCTTTGAATCAGGTGCTTATCCCCTGCACACCAGGGCTCCTATGCATAAAATTAGATAATGAATTTTCTATGCTTTCTTAAAAATGTATGAAAGTTGACATGCAGTGCTGTGTAATTTTTACATACTTCCAGGTGTACATATCAGTGTTTTTAAGTGATGATAATGGACCTTATTGAAAGTAAATGTACATATATTTATTTGAGATATAATGTTTATAGTATTTTCAAACTTTGTGCTGTTTTAATGTACACCATAGTTTAAATGTATGTTTTTTCATATACTTCAGAAACCTTAATAAAATAAACTTGTAATAAAATCTTTTATAAGATATCCTGGATATCAGTCCTCTCCAAGTAGACGTTTTTTATGTGTGAATGGAAGAGTTCACCCGTTTGTCACGTGCTCACTCACAGAACAGTATGAGGGTAGACTGATGATGACGATTGCTAGCCACCTTGTGCATTGCCTTTTGACTGAACGTACTGCTTCTGAAAGGCAGAACAGGAAGGAGGAACATGTGCACAATACTATGTTTGGAATTTTAGTATCGTACTCGTGTTGCCTAGGAACTTTCTTAGGTACTTGTAAAGAAGATAAACTCTGAAACTGTATCAACGGAGACATTCAGTTCCCCTCCCTGTGTATTTTACTTCCTGTTAATCTAGAGTAGCACCTAGGTGCCAGCAAGTCATTTCCCGCCCGTAGCGACTCTCTGCCCAGCCCTGCTCCACGCTCACAATTGCCCGGTGCTTTGTCACCTGGTGAGGGCCTTCCTCTTTTTGCCTGTCCTACTTTACCAAGCACGATGTCCTTCTCCAGAGACTGGTATCGCCTGACAACAGGTGCTGTGTGTGGAACAGAGTCTTGCCATCTTTGCCTGTATGACAGATTTGTTGGTTCTTTTAGCAGTCCATGGAACCTAGCATTCTTTGCCAGCACCATCATTCAAATGCACTGATTGTTCTTTGGTCTCTCTTATTCAAGGTCCAATTTTCATATGCATAGGAGCCATTTGAACATACCATGGCTTGGGTCAGGTGCACCTTAGTCCTCAAAGAAACATCCCTGCTTTTTAACACTCTAATGAGATCTTGTGCAGCAGATTTACCCAATGCAACATGTAGTTTGATCTCTTGACTGCTGCATCCCTGCGCATTGATTGTGGATCTAAGCATGACCAAATCCTTGACAACTTAAAACCTCTTCCGTTTATCATGGTGTTACTTAATTGGTTTAGTTGTGAAGATTTTGGTCTTCACGTTGAGTGGATCCATACTGAAGGCTGCAATCCTTGATCATCAGCAAGTGCTTTCAGTCCTCACTTTCAGCAAGCAGGGTTATATCAGCTGCATATCACAGATTGTTTGTAAGCCTTCTTCCAATTCTGATGTTACATTCTTCATATAGTGAAGCTTCTCTGATTACGTGCTCAACATACCGATTAAGTATGGTGAGAGGATACAACCCTGCTGCACACCTTTCCTGATTATAAGCCATGCAGTATTCCCTTGTTGCATTTGCACAATTGGCTCTTGATCCATCTAGAAGTTTCAGAAGAACACAATGAAGTGTTCTGGAATTCCCATTCTTCGAAAGGTTATCCATAATTTGTTGTGATCCACATAGTCAAATGCCCTTGGCAGTCAATAAGACACAAGTAAACATCTTTCTGGTAGTCTCTGCTTTCAGCTAAGATCCACCTGACATCAGCAATGATATCCCTTGTGTGACATCCTCTTCTGAATCTGCTTTGAACTTCTGGTAGCTCCCTGTCAGTGTACTGCTGTAACCATTGTTGGATGATCTTCAGCAAAATTTTACTGTTCTATAATGTGAGCATTTTGTTGGGTAACTTTTCTTTGGAATGAGTCCAAATATGGACCTCCTCCATTCAGTTGGCCAAGTAACTGTCTTCCAAATTTCCTGGCATATATCAGTAAGTGTTTCCAGTGCTTTATCAGCTTGTTAAAACATTTCAGTTGGTATTCCATCAATTTCTGGAGCTTGTTTTTGGCAAGTGCTTTCAATGTGACTTGAACTACTAGTGTTAGACAGGGTTCTCTAGAGAGACAAAACCAGATTGCTAATAATTTTATATATAGTTATACAGATAGATAGATAGATATATAACATAAGAAATAAACAATTAAATTATAAAGCAGTACAAATGGCTCAGTGCAACTCACTTCCGTGAGACAGTTGGGAAACACTGGCAGTCCTTCAAGGCCTGAGAGCTGCCAGGTAGTCCTCTGTAGAGCAATTCAGGCTATCTGGGCACAGGCAGCAAACAGCAAGGGAGGTCACCAACAGTCAGCCAGATGACTGGGGTCTGACAGTCCCCAGCTCGAGATGTAAATTCCAATTGTGTGGCGAAGCAGGTCTTGAAGGAACCTCAAATTACAGTGACACAGTCCTCAGGTTAGGTGTCCCACAGGTAGTGTAGCTTGCAAATTGAGGCACAGAACAATCAAGGCAGCCGCACACTGGTCAAAGAGCAAGAGACAAAAAAGGCGAGGATCGCAGAACCATTTATCTCTCCACCCTTCAATTAATCCCACATGTGTTTATTGGCAAGGTTGGCACAATAAACTAACTACCTCAACTACTTTGTTCAGGACCATTGGCTCTTACTCTTAAGCTACCTTCTGAAATGGTGAAATGTTAACTAGTTCTTTTTGGTCCCATGACTGTGTCTTCTTTCTATCTTTTGATGCTTCCTGCATCATTGAGTATTTTGACCACAGAATCTTTCAATATTGTAACTGGAGGCTTGAGTTTTTTTCTTGAGTTCATTCAGTTTAAGATATGCTGATGATATTATTTTTGGTTTCCTAACTCTAGGTCTTTGTAATTTTGTTACAATATTTTACATTGTCTTCTTGAGCTTATCTATGAAATTTGCTGTTCAGTTCTTTGACTTGTTTATTTCTTCCATCTGCCTTAGCTACTTGTGTTAGGAAGGGTTCTCAAGAGAAACAAAACCAGGACATTTATGATTTTTTATATATGTGTGAGAGTAGGTATATAAAGCAAGAAGGACTATTAACAGCTAATTAGTCCACACAGTAGTACAGAGGGTTTGGTTCAACTCACTTCTGTGGAACAGTTAATATACTGGAAGTCTTTCAATTCACATGGGCTGCTGGGTCCAAGGTCAAGGAAGCAGACAGCAGAGTTCTCCCTCAGGCAAGGCAAGCAGAGTGCCCACAGGCACCAAACAGCAGAGTGAGTCATCAACCGTCAGTAGCTCAGAAACTTAATGAAGCAGGCCTCAAGGGGATATCGAACACAAGCAATGGCCAGTTCCACCAGCCTCAAGCTCAATCAATGTACACACCAGCAGCATGGTCAAGCAGGTCTCGGAGCCTCAAGCTCTAGTGACACAATCCACAGGTTGGCTTGGCCCACAGGTAGTGTAGCTCACAGGTTGAGGTAGAGAACTTGCTAAAGCAGCAGAACGCTCCAGCACACTCCGATCACCAGAGAGCTGAGGGGAGGGGGGGAACCATGCCTTTCAGAGCCATTTATCTCTTCCCTCTAATCAAACTGCGACCTGATTAATCCCACATGTTCTTATTGTCCAGGTTGTTACAATAAACCTATCACATCAGTCTATGATTAAGAGCAAGTTTCATGTTCCCTTCCAACATCCACTTGGATTTTTTATTTCTTACCTGCCTTTTTAATGACCACAGTAGCTCCTTAGGTTTAAAAAAAAGTTGCCATCAAGCTGATGGCAATGCATTGCAATCTTACAGGATTGAATACAACTGTCCATGGAGTTTCCTTATCTGTCACTATGGAAACATGAAAGAAAATGACAAGAGACCATTTTTTCTCACAGAGCCATTACAAAAACCAAAAGACAACATCATTTAATTGAGTCCAACTCATAGTGACCCTATATGGGACTTACAAAGCCTTATAAATCTTTACAAGAGCAGCCAGCTTCTTCTTTCTCCCATGGATCAGCCACTGGGTTTAAACCAACAATCTTGTTAGCAGTCCAAAGCTTACTTGATAGCACCACCTTGGCTCCATTGCAGTCAAGTCAAATGCTTAACCATTTGTACCACCAGGCTGCTAATAGTGATAGGCAGGAAGCTTAGTGAAAAAGTATTTGTTCCCCACCTCCAAATCCATCAATCCAAAGGAATAGCAAGCCAAGCCCATAAGGAAAAGGGAATTTTCTAAGAGATCAGGCATGTGCTATGGGAAGAACATGCATGTAGAAGCCACTTAGGTCATATGCATGTTTATGTACAACCACTCAAAGTGTGAACATGTACATAAGTACTCCTACTGAAAGCTTAACCATGCAGTAGGAATGAGTTATAGCACATTCATATGTGCAGTAGGAATGAATTAGATCACATGCACATTCCAGCACACCCACTGAGAAGCCATGAACACAACCGCACCCTCGGAGTGGGTGTGAGAGGAGACCAGTCTGGGAAGAATGGTGTAGTAGTTACATAATCTGTTTTCAATTTGAGACTATTAAGAGTGAAGGGGTGGGGTTTAGCCTGTCAATCAGGTTGCAGCTTGATGACCTCATTTGGATGCACGAAGTAGATAAATGGCTCGCTGGATGCGGGCCCCACTCTCTGGTTGACTCCCTGTGAGACATTCCTGTTGACAAGCCACGTGGAGACACATTGATGGCAGCCAGGGTCCTGGAGCTGGAGGAGCCATGTAGAGACCCCTGCCAGCACTGAAGATGCTTCTACCACCACTGGATCCACAAGACTTTGTACCCATGGGCCTGTGATCTTCCTGCACTCAGTGTCATTACATGTGTTGTGTGAGTCTTAAGAGAAATTTACAGACTAGTACTGGACATATGGGTTAATATTGGACTTCTGGACTGGGCTGGAATGCTTTCTTAATGTACAATTAGTCTTTATATAAAGCTCTTTCCTATATACATATGAATGTCTCTGGATTTGTTTCTCTAGTTTACCCAGACTAACACAAATGGTACAAAAGATCAAAAAGCAGGTCCATGCTGCTTTTTCCACCTTCCCTCCCTGGAGATGGCTCCTTCTTGTCTGTGAGAACATACAATCACTTTCACACAGAAAAGCTTACTTCCACTTACTTTGTGCTGCAGTTTTGTGAATTATTTCCACACTGAGAAACAAGAACTGAGGAAATGCATCTCATAAGCTAACAATAAGGTAGACAAAATGTCCAGAATACAGTTGAAAATCACTCATCATACCAAAAACCAAGAACATCACAACTTGAATGAGGAAAGAATCAACTAACTTATCCTACACAAC